AGGAGGGGGTAAAGGAGGTTTTGTGGGCGAAGGGCATGGACTTCCAGCAAGCATGCATGAGCGTGTTAGGTAGAAGTGAATGGAGACAAATGGTTTTTGGGACCTGACGAGCTGTTGGAGTGTGAGCAGGGTAATATTTTGTGAAGGGATTCAGGGAAATCGGTTAGCCGGACTTGAGTTGTGGAAATGGGAAGTACAATGCCTGCACTTTAAAGGAAGGGTTTGGGATATTGGCAGTTTTGAGGGACTTCTAAACTGTCATATCTGCAAAAACAGTGATTATGTACGAGTGAGTTTACCTGGAGTTTACCTGGAGAGAGTTTCGGGGGTCAATGCCCCCGCGGCCCGGTCTGTGACCAGGCCTCCTGGTGGATCAGCGCCTGATCAACCAGGCTGTTGCTGCTGGCTGCACGCAAACCAACGTACGAGCCACAGCCCGGCTGATCAGGAACTGACTTTAGGTGCTTGTCCAGTGCCAGCTTGAAGACTGCCAGGGGTCTGTTGGTAATCCCCCTTATGTGTGCTGGGAGGCAGTTGAACAGTCTCGGGCCCCTGACACTTATTGTATGGTCTCTTAACGTGCTAGTGACACCCCTGCTTTTCATTGGGGGGATGGTGCATCGTCTGCCAAGTCTTTTGCTTTCGTAGTGAGTGATTTTCGTGTGCAAGTTCGGTACTAGTCCCTCTAGGATTTTCCAGGTGTATATAATCATGTATCTCTCCCTCCTGCGTTCCAGGGAATACAGGTTTAGAAACCTCAAGCGCTCCCAGTAATTGAGGTGTTTTATCTCCGTTATGCGCGCCGTGAAAGTTCTCTGTACATTTTCTAGGTCGGCAATTTCACCTGCCTTGAAAGGTGCTGTTAGAGTGCAGCAATATTCCAGCCTAGATAGAACAAGTGACCTGAAGAGTGTCATCATGGGCTTGGCCTCCCTAGTTTTGAAGGTTCTCATTATCCATCCTGTCATTTTTCTAGCAGATGCGATTGATACAATGTTATGGTCCTTGAAGTGCTGAATGATGATTAAAATATTTTTCTTCTTTTTGGGTTTTTCTTTCTTTTTGGGTCACATCAGAGACAGCTGATGTGTTAAAAAAAAAAATCAATATATCAAGGTTTTTTCTTCCTCCATAAGCCATGCGTGTCATAAGAGGCGACTTAAATGCCGAGAGCAAGGGGCTAGTAACTCCTTCTCCTGTATATGTACATTACTAAAGTTAAAAAGAGAACCTTTTGTTTTTCTTTTTGGGCCACCCTGCTTTGGTGGGATATGGCCAGTTTGTTGAAGAAAGATTCAGGTTTTCCTCAATTTGTAATCCTTATAGGGATGACTAATTAGTAACGAGTAATGACATTGGTAATTCAAAGAAATTAGGTTATTAACCCGTAAACGGTCCAAACGTATATATACGTTTTTTCAACATTTGAAAGTATGTAAAAAAAGTAGATCTTCATTTTGTTTTTTTTACATTTGAAAATGTGTAAAAAACTTTGATCTACTTGTTTTTTTTTTGTTATATTTGAAAATATGTAAAAAAAAACGTAGATCTACTTTTGTAGCACTACACATGTGAACATAGATCTGCTTGGACCGTTTACGGGTTAAATATTTAACTATGGGTTATTTACATTTATTATCTATTGAGCATAAGCATTCCCTTATACAGTACTATACAGTATACTGAACATAGTTATCATAATTTACAAAAAAAAAAAATGCTGACACTGGTATCAATCAAAAATCAAGTAATTAAAGGTGTACAAAGATAAATAAGATAAAAAAATAAATTGAATGGGCATAATAAATGGTAATACAAGGAAAACATGACAAAATAAGGGGTAAGTACATCATGGCTTATACACCTTGTGTATTACCTTACAGATAAGACTGACAATAATGATAAGATAAAAGCTGAAGATAACATTAATATTAACATTAATTTTTTAACAAGACATGGTGAAGGTTAAAAAAAAAAAAAAAAAAAAAAAAGCTAAGTAACCAATGGTAATAATAATGACAGTAATAATAGGAGGAAAAAATAATTATAAATAAGAGTAATAATAGTACAGGTAGTTTAGGACACTTACCAGGAGATTAAAATTTGATTTAAGAACAGTAATATTTTAGGTTTTGATTTGAAATTACCAAGTACAGTAATTTACATTTTTTTTTAATTTCGTAAGTTATTTTAAACTTTTGGACCTTTTATTCACAGTTTCTATATGAGGTTTCTATACGAGTTTCTATATGAGGTTTCTATATGGGGTCCGGGTTCGATTCCTGGCGAAGGGGTGGAAACATTGGACATGTTTCCTTACACCGGTTGTCTATGTTCACCCATCAGTACAATGGGTACCTGGGTGTTGGTGGACTGGCGTGGGTCACATCCTGGGACAAAACTGACCTAATTTGCCCAAAATGCTCTGCATAACAAGGGGCTTTCTATATAGTAATATGTCATTAATGTCAGTTAGGCCTGTATACCTTGTACACATACTTGTACGTATAATAGTAATATACGTAATATCTTTATTTACTACAAATACATGTACGTACATGGTATACAGGCCTAGCTGACATCAATGACATACTACCATACAGAAAGCCCCTTGTTATGCTGAGCATTTTGGGCAAATTAGGTCAGTGTCCCAGGATGCAACCCAGACCAGTCGACTAACACCCATGTACCCATTTACTGATGGGTGAAAATAGACAACAGGTGTCAAGAAACATGTCCAATGTTTCTACCCTGGATGGGAATCGAACTCAGACTCTCGCCGTGTGAAGCAAGAGCTTCAAGAGGTATTTGATGCTAATATGATGTCTGTTACTTGTTACAGTTTTCAAGGAAGTCTTAGGTCAAGAACAGCATTACAGTACAGAAACCTGAAGCTGTTAAAAGAACATTCAAAAGTCTAAATAGCATTTATATTGAGAAGGCCAAGGTATTTGAACAAGGTCATTCTGCTGTGTATAATACTATAGTTCGATTTAATAATGGCATGATAGTAAAAGCAAATTTCTGACCTTCTGTTTGGGTTAAAGTAGCAACTTTGAGGCATTATCTAGGGTGATTTTTATGGTTTTATTGGCTGCTTCTTGTTCCAAATGACAGAATGAAAGAAATACTAGTAAAGATAATTTGGGTCGGTTTCAGGATTGGAAGTATCTTGAAACAGACCTCAAAGTAGCAGAAATATTAGATTTCTGGCAATATTCCCATTATTATTATTATTATAATCAAGGGGGAAGCGCTAAACCCGTAGGATTATACAGCGCCTGGGGGGGGATGTGGAAGGCATTCAGGCTCAATTCGGGGAACTGGAGCACAGATCCAATTCCCTAAATCAAGAGCCCCTCATCAACATCAAGGAACCTTCCATGAGGGGGGCAATATTCCCAAGGAAGGGTAGGATCCCCCCCATACTTCCCCCACCTACTTTATGGGTGTTTACTATGTCTGTTACAATTATTGGGACAGACCACACTATGACTAATCATTCTTGGTTATATTTTATCATCTGAGAAATTGGGTAAGCCTTCAAATTTTTTATGTGATGGATTCAAAATGGATGGCAAATGTTATATTGGAGAGGCCTGGGAACATAATTAATGAACAGACGATAGGTTGCTTTAGTGGCTGGAAAGCCTGTAGTCCTTATTGTATATTGTTTTAAAACTGGAATCTGCTGAATTTTTGCAGAAGTCATCTAAATTATCAACTGGGCAATTTATAGGGTTGGATGGGCACTTTCTTGCACTCAATAAAAATGGAAAGCATACTAGCAAAATAGCAAGGAATCTGATTGAATGAGCAATGGAATTAGCTTAAAATAGGCCTCAAAGTGAGAAAAATTGCTAGTGCATAAATTGTGCCTTGACTGCTAACTTTTCACCCGAGTAATTGTACAAGGTTTCCATCAATTTAAATTTTTGTTATTACCTTCAGAAAAAACAATCGAAAAATAGTGACACTAAGCACTTTTAATTTCGGGGGTCACGACAGTGAAAGGATTAATAAAGGTGGGACACCACAAGCTTCCCTAGCTACAAATAGGAAATTACAGCAGAAGGCAGTAATACTCAAGGTGACATAGTATCATCACTATGTCAATCATAGCTTTGGTGGATATATTACAGCAGAGGCCTCTCAATTTTGAATGACGTAGCAACAGCAGAGTCTGGAGTGACATCACTGAAAGAAGAGACTCCTTGCCTGAAGTAACATGCCTATCACAGGAAGTCAATAACTGCTCGAGGAGACATCACACTGTCACAGGAAGTCAATCACCGAGGTGACATTACTATTATGATAGGAAGTTCATCACTGCTTAATGTGACATTCTTCATTATAAGAAATTAATCATTGCTCGAGATATACATGACATTATCATAGGAACTCAAATACTGCCAGGGAGGTGCTAAGGGGAGCCTTGGGGACTTCAGTCCCCCTAAAAAAAATTCCTCATCTCCCAAAGCCCCACAATAAAAGTATTAATACTATAATAATATTACAAGTTTCCTAGCCTTCCCTCCCAACCACACAACCACAATTAAGCTTCCAGACAGAAATTCTGGCACCGCCCCTAATCACTGCTTGATGTAACATTACATTATTATATGAAGTCAACAACTGTTTGGGGTGACGTGACAACATCATGGGACATCTATAATTGTTTGAGAGTGACATGACATTATCATAGGAAGCCAATCACGTCTCTGATAAGTCTTTCATTAATGGTAATGTCTACACTGATGTGAATGGTAAAACACGGAGATGCCAGACGTTATGACTCGGGTATTATCTTCCCTGTTTATGACCACTTTCCTCATCATTCTAATCAAACATTAAACCAGTTTACATTATACGTTCAACGGAGAACTTGGCCGTAGTTAAGACAAAAAGGTCCAAAGTGCAGAGTGATCATCATGACTAGACTCCACTTACAATAATGGCCACAGTTTCAACATGAACGTACATTATGTAATAATACTTACTTTGACAAATGCTTAAGTATCTGATTCTTTATTAGGCCTGCCATTGTGAGGCCAAGGTGAGGCAGAGGAGAGGCAAGACTCAACGATCAATCAGCCTCATAGTTGTTAAGACTCAGGTGTGGAGGTCGCTTATTCTCCATCACCACATCAACACTCACTCTCCTCCCCCCCCCCCTATTCATATAATAAAATAAGTAAGTAAGTAAGTAAGTTTATTCAAGTATACACAAATAGTTACATAAATTATCATACATAGCAGCATGTGTAGAGAACCTGGGATAACCCAAAAAAGTCAGAGTGACTTATTTCCATTGGGGTCCTTTTACCTTATTATTATAATATAAAGGTTATAATATTTTCTTATTATTCTATAATAAAATATTATCTCTGCTTGCCAACAAGATTCTTAAGTTTTTACAGATATTATTTTTTGCAAGGATATTTTCTTACATGGAAACGCTTATGGTATAATCTGATCTCATCGCTAAGACAAGATAAAATTATGAATACAGCTCCTCCATAAATACTCAAGAAATATTAAAATACTCTATCTACTGTGAGTTATTACTAGCAATTCTGGAAAATAAAATACCTGACTTTGTCAGTTATAAATAAGTGACAAAGTCATTCTAAACTCAACCACACCTTGCTAAACTGTTAGGTATCATAAATAACTCACAGTCACGTCCTTGTATTGTTTTTGAGAGTTAATTCATGTCTGTATAAGTTAGTAAGTTTATTCAGGTATACACAGTTACATAGATTATTATACATAACAGCATATGTGTAGACAACCTGGGATAACACATATGTAGACAACCTGGGATAACATGCGTAGACAACCTGGGATAACACATGTGTAGACAACCTGGGATAACACATGTGTAGACAACCTGGGATAACACATGTGTAGACAACCTGGGATAACACATGTGTAGACAACCTGGGATAACACATAAAAGTCACAGGGACTTATTTCCATTGGGGTCCTTGTGATAATTATTATTTACATTTAAAAGTTAAAAATAGGTAAGTATCTTAACTATGTAAAAACAGTTACAATAAAAGAAGATATACTTGGGGAGAGATAAAATTAGTTATTATCATACAAGAAATCACTCTCCTCCCTTTCTGTAGCCTTATTCATGAGGTACATTTTGGTTGTCTTCTGGAACTGCTTCATGTTATGACGGGCTTTGACATGTGCAGGCTGTCTATACCACTCTTTTATTGTTAATGGTTCATTATTAGAGTAACTTGCTTTGTAATCACAACCTGATGAGTCTAGTATCTAGGCCTTTGTCTCTTTTTAACTACCACCTTCAAGATGGATGTTTAATAATATCATTAAACTAATATTCATTATAATCACCTTGTTAAACTACATGCATACTATGCTAGTGATTTTTGACTTATGTAATAACATACAATTTATCTATAATGGTCTTGAGAGTACACATAATATGAACACAAAAATACTGTAATACATTGAATATATTTAAGCCAGGATAACTCAATAAAGTCAATGTCATTTATTTCCATTAGAGTTAGCATTTTACGCATATATTTAAAACACATAATAATACTCAGTATTTTTGCATTTTAGTATATTGTATAGTGAGAGCTGAGTCTTATAAGTATTAGCTATCTATAATCAACTCAGTTCATAATGGAAATATAAAGGACACCAATGGAAATAAGTCACTCTGTCTGACTTTTTTGGGTTATCCCAGGTTCTCTACACATATGCTGCTATGTATGATAATTCTATGTAACTGTATTTGTGTATACCTGAATAAACTTACTTACTTACTTACTTACTTACTTACTTACTAAAAGATGCAATCAGAGTCAAAACTGTGTACTGAATCAGAATAAAAATTTTCTTGATAATAACCACTGATTTTTTGTGTTGTGATGGACTTTATCCCAGGTTACATGTACATAATGTACCACTAGTGTTTGTTTATAATAATTGTATGTTTATTGCAACCTTCGTACAAATGTATAATAACTCTGCAAAAAAAAAAATCACGAGCCTGCATACAGCTTATCTGTCTTTTATGCATCACAACTTTTATATCATTATAAAGAATGTGCAGCGATACTTTATATAAATTCAATATATAGTGTTTTTAATAAAATGTTATTATTAAATATGAGTGAATTTAAAGTTGCCTGTCATTAACATTATTCATAATGATATAAGTTTGTATTGTATAAAAAAATTCGTGTATAAGTTCTGCTGGAAACATAAACAAATAGTTTAGTCAAGAATTATTACATTTTCAACAAAGAAACATCGCAGAAACACTCAATACTTTATTAAATACTTAATATTTTACATAGAATAATACTTTATTGAAATTAAATTCTTGCTATTTATTTTTTATGGCATTTAATGTTCGCCAAATTTGTAAATAGTGATCATTCTGCACTAGATCGACAGTCAACGTCGAGCCAGGGAGGAGGAATGATGCTCCATCTCCTTCGACCCCAGAGCTTCAGCAGCATCGCCCCTCAAGGGAGGTTCCTTGACGCTGGTGAGGGGCTCTTGATCCAGGGAATTGGATCTGTGCTCCGGTTCCCTGAATACCTTCCATCCCACCCACATGCGCTGTATAATCCTACGGGGTTAGCGCTCCCCCATGATTATGCTTATGCTTCAGCAGCATCGATTCACGTCCCTTGAAGGCAGACACTAGTAATAAAGTTGTTTTAATGGGCTCAAAATGTGTGGCCAGCACCTGGCTTATTATGACTGCAGTTCACCTGTATCAACATGGAGTTTGTTTAGGTACAGGTACACATAAGTACAATTATCATACATACCTGGAGGGCATTCCGGGGGTCAACGCCCCCGCTGCCCGGTCCGTGATCAGGCCTCGTGGTGGATCAGGGCCTGACCAACCAGGCTGTTACTGCTGGCCGCACGTAAATCAACGTAAGAACCACAACCCGGCTGGTCAGGTACTGACTTGAGGTGTCTGTCCAGCTCCCTCTTGAAGACAGCCAGAAGTCTTGAAGACAGCCAGAAGTCTTGAAGACAGCCAGAAGTCTTGAAGACAGTCAGAAGTCTTGAAGACAGCCAGAAGTCTTGAAGACAGCCAGAAGTCTTGAAGACAGCCAGAAGTCTTGAAGACAGCCAGGAGTCTTAAAGATAGCCAGAAGTCTTGAAGACAGCCAGGAGTCTTGAAGACAGCCAGGAGTCTTGAAGATAGCCAGAAGTCTTGAAGACAGCCAGGAGTCTTGAAGACAGCCAGGAGTCTTGAAGACAGCCAGGAGTCTTGAAGACAGCCAGAAGTCTTGAAGACAGTCAGGAGTCTTGAAGATAGCCAGGAGTCTTGAAGACAGCCAGGAGCCCTTGGGAAGACAGCCAGGAGTCTTGAAGACAGCCAGGAGTCTTGAAGACAGCCAGAAGTCTTGAAGACAGTCAGGAGTCTTGAAGACAGGAGTCTTGAAGACAGCCAGAAGTCTTGAAGATATCCAGGGGTCTTGAAGACAGCCAGGAGTCTTGAAGATAGCCAGAAGTCTTGAAGACAGCCAGGAGTCTTGAAGACAGCCAGAAGCCTTGAAGATAGCCAGAAGTCTTGAAGACAGCCAGGAGTCTTGAAGACAGCCAGGAGTCTTGAAGACAGCCAGGAGTCTTGAAGACAGCCAGGAATCTTGAAGACAGTCAGGAGTCTTGAAGACAGCCAGGAGTCTTGAAGACAGTCAGGAGTCTTGAAGACAGTCAGGAGTCTTGAAGACAGCCAGGAGTCTTGAAGACAGCCAGGAGTCTTGAAGATATCCAGAGGTCTTGAAGACAGCCAGGGGTCTTGAAGACAGCCAGGAGTCTTGAAGACAGCCAGGAGTCTTGAAGACAGTCAGGAGTCTTGAAAACAGCCAGGAGTCTTGAAGACAGCCAGGAATCTTGAAGACAGTCAGGAGTCTTGAAGACAGCCAGAAGTCTTGAAGATATCCAGGGGTCTTGAAGACAGCCAGGGGTCTTGAAGACAGCCAGGAGTCTTGAAGACAGCCAGGAGTCTTGAAGCCAGCCAGGGGTCTTGAAGCCAGCCAGGAGTCTTGAAGCCAGCCAGGAGTCTTGAAGATATCCAGTGGTCTTGAAGACAGCCAGGAATCTTGAAGACAGCCAGGAGTCTTGAAGACAGCCAAAAGTCTTGAAGATATCCAGGGGCCCTTGAAGACAGCCAGGGTCTTGAAGAAGCCAGGGTCTTGAAGACAGCCAGGATTCTTGAAGACAGCCAGGGGTCTTGAAGACAGCCAGGAGTCTTGAAGATATCCAGTGGTCTTGAAGACAGCCAGGAGTCTTGAAGCCAGCCAGGGGTCTTGAAGCCAGCCAGGAGTCTTGAAGATATCCAGTGGTCTTGAAGACAGCCAGAAGTCTTGAAGACAGCCAGGAGTCTTGAAGACAGTCAGGAGTCTTGAAGACAGCCAGGAGTCTTGAAGACAGCCAGGAATCTTGAAGACAGCCAGGAGTCTTGAAGACAGCCAGAAGTCTTGAAGATATCCAGGGGTCTTGAAGACAGCCAGGGGTCTTGAAGACAGCCAGGGGTCTTGAAGACAGCCAGGAGTCTTGAAGACAGTCAGGAGTCTTGAAGCCAGCCAGGGGTCTTGAAGCCAGCCAGGAGTCTTGAAGCCAGCCAGGAGTCTTGAAGATATCCAGTGGTCTTGAAGACAGCCAGGAGTCTTGAAGACAGCCAGGAATCTTGAAGACAGCCAGGAGTCTTGAAGACAGCCAGAAGTCTTGAAGATATCCAGGGGTCTTGAAGACAGCCAGGGGTCTTGAAGACAGCCAGGGGTCTTGAAGACAGCCAGGAGTCTTGAAGACAGCCAGGGGTCTTGAAGTCAGCCAGGAGTCTTGAGTGGTCAGTGGTCAGTCGTCACGTGAGGTCACAGACCCTGAGCTGCTTTGGGGATTAGCGTGGACGGTTACAAAGCATGGCTTGCTTCTGCAGTGTTTTAAAAATTGAGGTTGGAGAGTTGAAGGAGGAGGTCTTGCTTCTCCAGGAGGAGATTTTGGAGGCTGAAGTCCACCCGTCAATGGGTCTGGGAGAGAGTGTGAAAGGGGGCTGGAAATTGTGGGGAAATGAGGCTTCTAGCAGTGAGGTGCAGTCTGTCTCTCGCTGTGAGGAGGCT